GTAGCTAATCCATTACGGATACCAAATGTTAAGACAGATTCTTCTTCCTTAGATAATGTTTCGCCAGTTAAGTTAGTAATTATATGGTTAGGGTTCTTACACGTTCCATTGATTATTGCATGTTCATGTAGAAGGTTGTTAAATTTACGACCATGGCGGTAAGATACCTTACGCATTTCCTTATCTACAGTATCTAATATGGATAATTTTTTCATTCCTGATGATGACATAATTAATGTCGAAATATTGAATCCCAACACGATGGCGTGTATTTCAATACTTGGAGTATGTATTATACTTTCTTATCCGAGATTAATCAGTGGACCTTTCGGGTTTTGGTATAAAGAAAAGGAGCCAGCACTGTACCACTCTACAGAGTAAGATCATTTTAAAGTTCAGATGCCTAAAAACATACTTATGAGAAAATCGCCTCTAAAGATAAACAACTGGTAAATTTTGTGTTGGTTTTCCTATCAATTCTGGAAAATAGCTTTACAAAATGTGCCTCAAAACAAGATTAACTTAGGTAACTCAACTCGAAACTTTTGCTAATGTGGAATATACATATTAAACTTATCAGAAAAAATTGCCAAAATACAGTATCACTTAAGGTACATTTTCTTGAATATATCAAATTGACCTGGCGTACCACACATCACGATTTCATGAAAGTAAATCAATACCACTCTACTCTAATATAAACAAAGAAATAGAGAAATACTTACAGTCCAGACTGAATATAGTGTTCAAATTGTTAGTACATGTCGGTAATTACCCCATCTATCTGTTTCCGTAAAAAACACCTGAAACACGGAGATCTCTGTTTTTTGGCAGTCAAGTGTTACGTTACCAAACACAGAGATCTCCATGTTTAGCGGGCAGGCTGACAATTGAATGGATGATACTTTTGTCCTTTTTTAAAATTGGACAACCCATGAGTCTATCTACAATTTGGAGACAGTGCCTTTATATATGTTTGCTAAAAATTATTGAAGGGAGGACATAAATTTAATGTGTCCAAGGTCGTACTATGCACAAGCATGAATACCACCAGGCCCAGTCGTTTTGTGTACATTTGATATTTAAGTTCAGTAACATTTGTCAATAACTAGTTCATAATTGAGGGGTTCTCTGGGATATTGGTTACATTCTCAACTGATGATTAAAAAAAACTACAACAAACAAGTAGGAGCGTGTGGTGCAACGTGTAAGGTGTTGGAGTTCTGATCGTGAGATCGGGAGTTAGAGACTGACGTTCATCGCGTTACTTGTGTCCTTGCTTTACTTACGTTGGCCTCTCTCCACCCAGGAGTATAAATGTGTACCTGGTAGGATGGTGTGGCATTGAATGTATTAGGTTGTGCATGGAAAGCAGCATGACTTGGGAGCAGGGAATGTTGCACAAAAAATGTGCTGGTTTGCCAATTATGTGTCCAATGACCAGAGGTATACTGACGTCAGCGCCTTTTTATGTTTTTCAGTTTGTGTGCTATATAAATCCGAAAAAAAAAAGAGCAATGCCTTGATCATCCAAAACACTCACACCATTATCAGAAATTTTGTCAAAAAATATAAATTTGTTCTTTGACTAGGTTTGCATGTAATTCTAGAGACTTTTTTTAGCTTTAATTTCATCTTTCATTTCTCACTAACAGTCCTTGTTCATCCACAAAAGGATTGTTAATGTCTCACTTTCTTCTGTTCAGTATCATGCAAGAATATCTCAATAATTGACTGTGATTAAAATCCAGAATGGTTACTCAACTTGGTCCATATTCAACCGATAATTAGCTGATGCAATCTTCCAAATTAAGCTCAGAAATTTCTTTTTGCACACTGTCTAGCCCTTTTGATATTCACCAAATAATCTATCACACCTCCAACAGTTACAGTTTATGAATTGACAGGTATATATTTGTGTTTATTATTGTTGTCTTGATGGGAGCCAATATTTTGTGTGGAGGTGAAAAAGTGTGCCCAGAGGATCCATTCAAATCCAGAATGGTTACGCAACTTGGTCCATAATCAACAAATCCGATTAGCTGATGCAGTCTCAATAATTTCCAAATTAAGCTAAAAAATTTCTTTTTGCACACTGTCTAGCCCTTTTGATATTCACCAAATAATCTATCACACCTCCAACAGTTACAGTTTATGAATTGACAGGTATATATTTGTGTTTATTATTGTTGTCTTGATGGGAGCCAATATTTTGTGTGGAGGTGAAAAAGTGTGCCCAGAGGATCCATTCAAATCCAGAATGGTTACGCAACTTGGTCCATAATCAACAAATCCGATTAGCTGATGCAATCTCAATAATTTCCAAATTAAGCTCAGAAATTTCTTTTTGCACACTGTCTAGCCCTTTTGATATTCACCAAATAATCTTTCACACCTCCAACAGTAACAGTTACAGTTTATGAATTGACATTTAGTATATATTTGTGTTTATTATTGTTGTCTTGAAGGGAGCCAATATTTTGTGCGGAGGTGAAAGAGTGTACCCAGAGGATCCATCTCTTTCAAATGGTTATTTCCTAAGTCCCTGTGTGATGGACAATTGTACAGATGACATGACTGCTGTACAAGAGGAAATCTTTGGACCAGCTATGGCAGTGTTAACATTTGAAACGGAAGAAGAGGTGATCAAACGTGCTAATGCCACTAAGTTTGGTTTGGCTGGCGGTGTATTCACAAGGTATAGCATGTGTTGTATTTATATTCTTAATTTAATAGCATGAACAATACACTTAGACAATTCACTATAATACAGTACTTGGATTCTGGCATCCTGCTAACAACAGCCGCAGTCAACCCGAAATCCATGACAAGTCATTGGCTGGGCTTATGATGACATTGGTGATAGAACAGTTTGAGAGTGATGGAAGGACTATTGTGATCAAGTCAGCCCATCATGGTATGGAGCCAGGGGACCAGAAAGGTTCTGTAGTTGGGGTGCAGAGTGAAGGCCTGGGAAAATTGAAAAAAGCAGACTTGATGTTGTGGTAGATACTTTTGGAGGAGGGTAGTAGGAACCCCACAAATGTAAAAATATTGTACCTGCAAATGTACTACATGCAAATGCAAAATAACTACAAAAACATTGTCAAAAATTGCCCACAAGTGTAAAAATCTGTTTAAATACAAATGGTAGATTTCACCTACAAATGTAAAAATTTCCATTTTAACCTCAAATGTCATAACATGTTAACCGCAAATGTTAAAACTCATTGTTTTCCCGAAGCATAACGTCTTTAAAATAAAGGCCTAAAGCATTCTATCTCCCCAGTATGTACTATCTGAAAACTATATAGTTGTGTTTGATGTACGGTAATGAGCAGCCAAGTCGGATTATTAAAACACAAGCTGTTGTTATACTATTACCGGATTTGCCCTAATTCTAAATATTTGGTCCTAATAATAATAGTTAAAAATTAAGAACAAAATAAAAACAAATTGAGGATGAGGTAAAAATATTTTCAAATGCATTCTTTTTTAAAATAGAAATCTTTGAAAGAGTGTAAAATAATAACATTCCAAGAGAATTTTGGAAAAGCAACTCACTTTAGCATAACGATTTCAGTATAACTATCACATATTTTTCGACCACGGCCAGATGAAGGAATGATGACGACTACTGCTCCAAATTATTCATGACGTCACCCTAATAGTCACCCAAATATGCCTGTGAAGCACCATCAAATCCTTGTCGTGTAGAGTAACATTTCCCGATAAATTGCATTGAGCTTTCCCAACCATATAAGTGAGGTCTCCCCGACTGGTCCATAATCCATCTCACCCACATCTTTGGCACAAACTCAGATAAAATCTAGATGCTGAAGGCTCCCGAAACAATATAGCGATTTGCAAAAAGGCAGCAAATAAAAAGGGGAATGATGGCTGGAGTGGTTTATGGGCGAGGCAAAGGGCCCCCCCCCCCAAAAAAAAAAAAAAAAATCAGCAGTTCTGATGTTACTCTTGCAAGCAAAAATGACTCTTGTATCTGTTTTTTCTAATGAAATAATTTATTTTTTATAGTCTCTTGATTTACTATGAAATTCATTTTGTGTTTAGATATTAATTTAGCAAGCAGGGTGTTAAGGTGTCTGGTACTACAAGAGTTTAAATGCCACAAGCTAAAAACTGTACCTTTGTTTTTATTTTTCAGTGACTTGACACGAGGTCACCGTGTTATAGCTAACTTGCAGTCTGGTACTTGTTTCATCAACAACTACAACTTGTATCCTATTGAGATGCCATTTGGAGGTTACAAGCAGTCAGGTTTAGGCCGTGAACTCGGAACAAGTGCCATTGATAGTTATACACAGACTAAAATGGTATATGTAGAGATGGGAGACGTAGACTGTCCTTACTAATTATAGACCCATCAAATTCTAGAGAAGGACATACGGTCGAGTATATAATCGTTTTGCGTTTTGAACAGATGTAAAGACACTGTACGAAATGCGGTCAAACATCAAGATTGTTTTAAGTATCCTTGAAAGCCAATTTATGCTTATGTTCTTTTAATGCAGCTGAATAGAAATATAATGTGAAAAGGAAATTGATTTAGGAATTGGATTTCTAAGATGTGGCTGTGGATGCTCGCAGCTACCATGACTGTAGAAACTAAATTGCTGATATAGTAATCGAGGTCTCATGAGTACTACTATGGATGTAATCTGGTACATAGAGTGCATAGACACCATGTATTATGCGCTATATAAGTCTCCAACCATTACCATTACCATTACATCTAGGGCAAGGCATATATACCATAGCCTAATTGATAAAAACACATAATCAAGCCTCTTTAATAATGACAATTTATCTACCAGTGTTAGTCGGTGTATATACTGATCTTGAGACGTCGTTCTTGTTGATTCATTGTATTTTCTTTTTGTCTACAATATTTACCTATCTTAAATGTTTGGTTTTGTTCTTTTTTAAACAATGGCTCTTATCAGGGAACACCAATCACCAAATAGGTATATATACATGTATACAAAAATAAATAAATAAAAATCATGTTCTTACAAATTTTCTTGTGAATAAAAGATTCTATAAACATTAATATCAGTTGCAC